CGGTGCTGTGTATATCTGATTAAAACCCCATTCATGCCGCTCCTCAGAAAGAAAATAAAAAAAGTTCTCCCCGCTGCTCACCGTCCACAAACCCCGACAAAAAAAACTCAGAAAAAATATTCTGTTGCCTCTCGCTTTCTCCCCATCACCCCCCTCCGCCCTCTCCCCATAACATTTGAATTGAAGATATCCGCGGGTGACGGGTCGGGTTCAGTAGTCATCCTAACGGGTTCGGGCGGGTGAGGGTTGGTAAAACTCGACCCATGCAGGTCTCTAAGCTACACTACATTCAGTATCGTTGCCATAGAAACAGACAACAGCGCCAATATATCAGAATTATACTAAAACACACGCAAATAATTTCCCACATAAAAAACAGGACTTTCAGTCCATTACAGTTTTCCGTTTTTAGAGGGTTGTTTATTTTGCGTTTATTAAGTGATGGCTGTGGTATATTAGCTTTCACTGCTATAAGCTTTCGCAGCAGTGATTGATTAATTTAAACACCTGCTCTACGGATGGTCTATCGGAGTTGGTGTTTAGGTTGAACATAAAGAACACCTTTTATTTGAAGCTTCTTGTAGCTACTATTTTAATCCCGGCTTCACTTAAAACTTTTTCCTGACTTTGATAGTGTTGCCATTCAGTAGCAAGCACTGCGCCCCTTTTTCTTTTATATGTACACGTACATTTAAGATTTAGCGTGTTAAGTTGACAACTCATGAGCAAGCTGCTTTTTGCAATCTAGCAGGAAGGTAAGGATAAGATCTTGCAGGTGTGACGTCACTCTGCAGGGGGTCCAAAGATAAAAGATTTAAACAATTTTGGCATTGGAATTTCAGATTTAAGGGAGTTAGAAAGTTCACTTAGTAAAAGTGCAAATAATAAATCTGATTACCGATTACTTTTAAGCTGGTTGAACATACTGCGACAGACTGGTGACCTGTCCAGGGTGATCCCACCTCTCACCCAGAACGTGGCTGGAGATATGCACCAGCACCTCCTGATCCCACTGAGGGATAAGGTTAAAGAAAATGGATGGTTGAACATAGTCCGCTCTCCAAGATTCTATCAAATCAGTATTGACACCCTCAGGGGCGGATTTAGGAAATTTGGGGCCCTAGGCAAAGGCAGGGGGCCCCCTGAGAAGAAAACCCATAAAACAGACCCATTCTACAGATAGAGAAATGTTAATAGAATAGACATCCATTATCTGGATCATTCAATTTGACTGTATGATCTGGTTGAACTGTAAAGTGCCTTGAGATGACATGTGTTGTGAATTTGGCGCTATATAAATAAACTGAATTGAAATTGAATTGAATTGAATTATCTGTTCTAGGTTTTGTCCCTCTCTTCTTGTCCCTTTTTTCTCTCTATTTATCAGCGTTCTGATGGCATTTTAGCCAAAGGATTTTTAGCAAAAACATAATTAATGTGCACAAATAAGGATTAGTTGTATTAACCATACATGGAAACAGAGTTTTATGGGGCCCCCAGAACTTGGGGCCCTGGGCAACTGCCTAGTATTGCCTAATGGTAAATCCCCCCCTGGATACCCTGCTGGTGGATGTTCTTGACAGAAAGACGGAGTTGCTTAATCATATTCTGCTTAAGGTCCCATAAGATCTTGTCCGAGTCCTGGTTTAAAAGTAAATTAATTTTAAAACGTGACCCAAAATTGACTGTCAATAAATGTTCTACAAAATTGATATATTTATTTGATTTGTACTGTCTGTTTAGATTTATGTGATATTTTTGGCACAAAATATATAAGTGAATATTGTAACAGTTATGTTTTCAACTGTAAGCATTAAATTGATAAATGTTATTCGCATTTTTTTGGCTTTATCCTTTCCAACAAAAAAAAAAAGGCGTCGCGCAGGTAGCTCCCTTTCCTTATGAGCCGTCCCCACCAACTTTCAACACAAAGTTACACCCTTGTCTTAGACAACGCCTTAGCAGGTGCACTGAAAAAATTCGGCGCGCGCTATGCGCGCGCATTATCTTCCAGGGGCTGAGCCACCCTTGTGTCTTAAACCTAGAGACGCCCCTGGTCTATGGCGCCCGAGGGAGAAAGGTCCATAAAAGTCCACAAAAAACGTGTCAATATTCCTCCATACTGCTCGTCCAATGTATTCCAAGTGTCCTGAGTGGGTAGCATCCAGAATTTACTCGAAACGAAGTCATTTAGAATGTTTTTAGAGCATAAACAGTAGTGTATAGGATTTCCTGAAAGCGCGCGCCGGCGCGTTCATGACGCTACGGAAGCCGGCAGACCAAGCCAGATGAAAGTGCGCATTCAGCGTCTGCTCTGCCAATAATGCAAGCGTAGAAGAAGAAATGTGCTGTTTACCTGTGCAAAGAAAGAAACAACGAAAGAAAAATGTCTGAGGACTTCAGTGTTGAGGAAGAGCATGAGTTCTTTGCCGAGCTGAATGCGCTGGTCTGGTCTGCCGGCTTCCGTAGCGTCGGGAGCGCGCATGTGCGCGCTTTCAGGAAATCCTATACACTACTGTTTATGCTCTAAAAACATTCTAAATGACTTCGTTTCGAGTAAATTCTGGATGCTACCCACTCAGGACACTTGGAATACATTGGACGAGCAGTATGGAGGAATATTGACACGTTTTTTGTGGACTTTTATGGACCTTTCTGTCTCGGGCACCATAGACCTCCATTATTTGAATGTCAGCAGACAGCAAGAAGCCTCCCAGATCTCCAGATTCATTTGAGATATCAAAAAAGTACTCCAGAGTGTTGTTCAGCATGGGGGTGAGTAGAAAATGAAGGCTAATCATGTTTTGGGTGTACTATTCCTTTAAGCCACGCCTGCTACCTAGCACAGTCCTAATGACTGGCGGCTTGTTTAGGGTGTATCCTGCCATTGCCCAGTGACTACTGTAGAAAGGCAGCCACTGTGACCCTGCAAGTGCAAGCTAATCTAGACATAGATGGATAGTCTTATAAATAATATTATAAAATTAGAATATTAAGTTCTAATTATATTTTATTTCTCTGTAACATAAATTCCTTTTAACCAGAATTGGCTCTTTAATTAGACTTGACATTACGTTGTTAATTGGTGCTATATAAATAAAGTGACTTTTTTTGTTCTCTGAATAACTCTCTACCTGTAAACTTTATTCAACAAAACAGAATAAACATAAATTAGACTTGGATATTAACTCAGAAATAAATCTTTGAAAAAAGAAATTGTTACATTTTCAAGTAAATTATTCATTATTCCCCAATAAGTATAACCCTGTTATAGCTCTTATATTTTACCTGTATACACAATTGTAGGAAAAAGAGAAAGACATGCAACAAAAGGGTGTGTTATAAAAAAGCATAATGCTATAGCACATACAATGCTCAAAAAATAAAGGGAGCACTCAAATAACATATTCCAGATCTGAATGAATGAAATATTCTCTTTGAATATTTTGTTCTGTACAAAGTTGAATGTGCTGACAACAAAACCACACAAAAATCATCTATGAAAAATGTATTAAACAATAGATGCCTGGATTTGGAGTCACACAAAAAATGTGTGTGGAAAAAACATACTCCAGGCTTATCAAACTTTGATTTAATGTCCTTAAAACAGGTCAAAAGAGGCTCATCATTTTGTGTGGCCTCCATGTGCCTGTATGACCTCCCTAGAACTCCTGGGCATGCTCCTGATGAGGTGGTGGATGGTCTCCTGAAGGATCTCCTCCCCCTGGACTAAAGCATCTGCAAACTCTTGGGCAGTCTGTGGCAAAACGTGACATTGGTGGATTAATCGAGACATTTTGTCGCAGATGTGCTCAGTCAGATTCAGGTCTGGGGATGCCAGTCAATAGCCTCAATGCCTTCTTCTTGCTGACACGTTCCAGCTACATAAGGTATAGCATTGTCCTGCAGTAGGAGGAACCCAGGGCCAACCAGAGCAGAATATGGTCTCACAAGGGGTCTGAGGATCTCATGTTGTTACCTGATGGGTAACATGCTACCTCTGACAAGCACTTGGATGTGCGGCCCTGCAAATAAATGCTACTTTACACCATTACTGACGCACTGCCAAACTAGTCATACTGAAGGGTGTTGCAGGTAGCAGATTGCTCTTTACGGTGTCTCCAGATTCTGTCACATCTGTAACATGTGTTCAGTGTGAACCTGCTTTCATCTGTGAAGAGCACAGGGTGCCAGTGGTCAATTTGCCATCATACCTGGTGTTCTCTGGCAAATGCCAAGCAACCTGCACAGTGTTGGGCTGTGAGCACAACCATCATCTGTGGACATCGGGCTCCACATACCATCCTCATGGAATCAGTTTCTATCTGTTTGTGCAGACATATGCACATTTCTGCCCCGCTGGAGGCAATTTTGCAGGGTTCTGGAAGTTCCCCTCCTGTTCGTACCCGCACAAAGGCGGAGATAGCGGTCCGGCTGTATGGTTCTTGACCTCCTATGACCTCCACGTATCTTGGTGTACTGGCCAGTCTCCTGGTAGCGCCTCCAGCCTTTGGACACTACGCTGACAGACACAGCAAACTTTTTTGCCATAGCTCGCATTGATGTTCCATCCTGGATGAGCTGCACTACCTGACCACTAGTGCCGTTTGAAGAGTCTGTCTCATTCTACCAGTGTAAAAGCACCACCAACATTCAAAAGTGACCAAAACATCAGCCAGAAAGCATAGGTACTGACAAGTGGTCTGTGGTCCCCACCTGCAGAACCACTCCTTTATTGAGTGTGTCTTGCTAATTGCCAGTAATTTCCACCTGTTGTCTATTGAATTTGCACAACAGCATGTGAAATTGATCATCAATCTGTGTTGCTTCATAAGTGGACAGTTTGATTTTTTCAGAAGTGTGAATTAATTGAAGTATTATCGTGTTGTTTAAGTGTTCCCTTTAATTTTTTTTAGCAGAGTATATTACAGGCTTCCAAAGAGGATGAAAATGTGCTTTGGCAATTTTAACAAGATCCAAATAAAGAAAAAACTCCTTACCGGTTTCCTTGGCTTCGATAGTCAAATTGTACCAGTCTGTAGTTTCTCGGTCCAAAGTTCTAGCGATAGCTATGGTTCCATTGTTAGGGTCTATTTTGAAAGCTTTGGTGGCATCGGTCTTTTTGTTGATTGAGTATCTGCGGAAAAAAATTAATTCACAGAAATGGCACATTTAGCAAGGATTTTTGGTTTCTGGGCAAAGCCAACATTGGAAAACCACAGGGAAATGAACTAGACAAACTGCTCAATTTTCCTTTTCTTTTATCTATTAACAGATTTCCAGCAAAGCAAGTACACACACAATCCAGCGACAGAAAAGTGACACAATATGGTGAAAAGACAGCACCTTACACTGATAAGGGATTTGTTTTTTCTTCAAGTCAGTTTAAATTAATATATTATTTTTCAAACTGTTCTTTAACCCTTGAGGAAAAGAAGTAAGAATATTGTTGAACGAAAAGTATAACTGTACAAAAAACTATTTGCATTTTTAGTCTTTAAGCCTGAAATGATAATTTTTATTTTATCCTTCCATTATTATTTAACTTTAAGGAATCTGAAATATCTATATAGTATCACCCATAGTAACAAGATAACCAGAACTTTACTGTAAAAAAGTTAATGCTTCACAAAATAATAATTTAAAAAAATCCAATTGTCCCAAAGTATAGGTAATTCATAAGCTAGTAGAGTGTATTTACAACTACAGACACAATACTAAACAGCTCAGGCTGTAATTTCTATTTGAGAATCATGCCTTCTTATCATGCAGTGCTGTCTATGGTCATAAAGATGATAGCTAATTAGTATTTGTTTCAGACATACTTTATAAATACACAGATAGCTGTGAGTTAGTCCCTTAAAACAGGGGTCCTGCAGGGGTTACCAAAGCAAGCCTTCACAAGTGGTATACAGAGTTTTACACCCAAAAATCCTACCAGCAACACTAAGGATTTAAACCCAGATTTAAACTCCAAGTCAAAGACTTTACCTGCAACACTACAGACAGAGTAATTGTAAGGATGACAGCGAAATCACTAAATTCTTCACAGATTTAAAATGGTTAATGTTTTGATCCCTGTAGAATAATTTATGAATTTGAGCTGTCTGAGAATTAAAAGCACAGGGAAATTAATTCCCTGTGTTTTTTGTCTATAAGAATTAAAAATATTTGTATATTTTGCTGTAAGATGATCCTGGCATTAAAAAAAAATGGATAACTTCAGTGACAGGAGTATTATTTCCTAAATGTGTGTCTTTAAAATAAACACACATATAAAACTTACCTGAGTTTAAGGTGAGATAATTTCTGTGACCCGATACAAAGAAGGTCTGAACATGGCAAACTTAATCATATTTACTGGAACTCTGGAAACCTCTGAAATGTCAGCCTGAATTTATTAATCAATGAAACACTGTCACCGGAGGGACAATAATAGACGGTGCACTGAGCATGATATGCAGCACCTGCCACTCTTAAGCTCTGCTGAGATGGACTACAGGCACCGCTTGTACCGCTGTCTCCTCTGCAACGTGCCCCACTTGCAAATTACTTCAAATCTCAATTCCATATGCCGCCTCGTACAGTGCTGTATTACATTGACATGTTCTCTGCAAAGTCTCTTTGCGATAATGCCGCTGCAATAGATAGAAAAGCCTGTGAGGTGTAAAAAAAAAAAAAAAAAAAGGAAATGTCATTATTTATTCAGGAGGGCTCATTTCCCGCAAAGTATTATGAGATAAATATGACCATGTTCAGGGTATCCAGAGATCAAGGGGGTAGAAATGGATGCAGTGAGCCAGTAAGCCTGTATGAAATGGAATGATTTTTCAACCCGCAAAGGAAGCTGTCTCCAGGAGTTGCAGCTTGGGTGTCTAACCCGTCATTATCATGCTGGTTGTTGGATACTGGATGGCAGATGCCAAGCCCCCCCACCCATTCTTTATACAACTCACAATACCTCATGGGATTGTTGACTGCGTCGGTGTCTCTGGCACTAACAGTGCCAACCACTGTTCCCACCGCTGCATTCTCAGGGACCTTCCACTCGTAGAGTGCTGAGAAGAAGACAGGTGGCTCGTCTACGTCCTCCACAAGAATCTTCACCTTTGTCCTGTCACTGAACTCATCTAGAGTTAGAAACCGAGTGTCTGGGTGGTCGTTGGCTGCCTCTGCCATCATCACGTAGCGTCTCTTGGATTCATAGTCCAAGGGCTGTGAAAAATCACACAAATCTAACACTTTATACCAACTCTTTGGTTCACATCAAATAGAAGAAATAACTTTTTAATCTTGTTTCACCGGATTGTCCCTCGGAGGCGTAATCCATTGGTAGTAAGACATATTTAATGATGTTGAGCAATTTTCAATAAATTGCCAGCTGTGAGCTTAGTCTTAAATACTGCTATGATTTTGAAAAACATTAAGATGTGTCTAATAGGAAAGCAGCAGGAAAAACATTACCACACTCACACAGTGACTCATAAACTGCGTCGATATATGTTTTCTCTTCCATTTCCTTTAACTAGAAAACAACTGTTGACATGGCAAACAACAAATTACTTTCAGTGTTTATGCAAAAAACAATATCTAGACTCAGTAGTTACAGCCTTGTTTAAATAACACATTTGGTTGCCACACAAACCATCATTACTTAGAACTATTTGTTTAAACTATAGTTTATCTACCTTATAATGTATTATAATATTTAATCATTCATCTAACATGGCTAGATAGAGAAAAAGACAAAACAACCAATCATGCATACAGAATCTACACATGCAGAGAAATAATTTTCATATAGAAAAAAATCAAATGTTGGATTCACACAATGGATCATTTTGCTGTGGATACTGCAAAGTAGCTAGTTATTCAAACTATGCAGTTGCTTTTTATGTACTAAAATGTTGTTGAATTTAGATAACTTATCTTTTATTGAACCTTTAAATCCCACAACCTGTTATCAAATATAAAATGTTAATAGAAATGAATGCTGTTCTTCATTACTTTAATTAATTAGTTAATGAGATTGAAAAATATCTGATAAACATACACTGTTCTACATTATTTCAGAGTCTAGTGGGACAAGTGAGCCAAGAATATACAAAAAAGTTCTTGAGTAAATAATCTAGATGGGAAAAAAAATGTATAATGTTTCATTTTTCGAGTTCATTTCTTAACCTTAACCTGGTCTTTGTTTTGGAGTTCATTCAGTAGATGTAAAGTTTTGTATTTTTACCCTCTGCTAGAGTTCATGTTTAACATTTCCTCCATGACAGTGCAGCTGCACAGTGCTTGCCCACTTACAGCAAGCCCACACTCCACTCTGTCAGGTTGAGACTGTCCACTGATACCATTTTATGACTTTGTTATCCTATTGAGTGATTTTTCACGCCTCTCTGACATTTTTAAAAAAGCAGCTAGCTTTTGATGGTGGCTATTCTGTAAATCAGGTTTTGTGTAGTGTTACTTGTATTCTAGATACAATTAATATTTTAATACCTGTGGCCCAATTTTAACAAGTGGTTTAAGATCAGCTCAGCACAAATAGTACTTTCTACAGATGTCTTATGCTTATTTGGTCGTCACACACCTACACTAAAACTGAGCTGTTTTCAACTCCAAGGTGTTTCATTTTGCATTCTTCATGTTGGCACAGTTTGAAGCAGTGTTGCTTTGCAGCAAGAATGTCTAGGGTTCAATTCCCAGCCCAGGGTCTCTATAGAGGGCCTTTGCATGCCATCTGCAACTGATTTTCCTTGTATGTCACAGCAAGGGAACTAAAGAAAATGTACAATTTAAAAACAAAATGGAAGACTTTGATCATGAGTGTTAATATTTATTTTTAGGAAAACTTACATTTATTTCAGCTATGAGTCTTTAGCATCTTGTCATTTTTATGTGAATTTGGATCTTTCAGATTAATTTGAGAGAGACATTTTAATCATGTTTCGCATTTTTGTCATGGTTTTGGTTCTGTTCAAGTTTTATCTCCAAGTTTTCATTGGTTTCATTTCCATTTTGTGTTCTAGTTATTTTTGATTGCATATAAATTCTCTGCCCCGTTGTGTCAGTCTCCTTTTCCCTAGCTCCATTCCTGCCTCCTCTGTTCACACCTGCTCTCAATCTGCTTATTAGCCTTGTTTCTCTCTCCCACATATTCTCCTTCTGTTCACTCACTCTTTGCTGTTTTGTCATTATTTCTTTGCCCCTTGTTGAGAGTATTCCTACTTCTCAGTTATTGTGGAATTTGTGGATTTATGTTTTTGATTTTTGCTTCTGTTAAACTTTTTTGGATAATGAATCTTCAAGTAACCTCCTTCAACTTCCGTCTGCATTGGGGTCCTCCTGTCAAACCTCCAGCCCACTGTGACAGACTGTATCTTAAAACTCTATTTATATTTTTATTTTAAATGTTTTTATTATATATATTTACATATTTATATATATTTTTTTCTGTTATTTTTTTCCCCTCATCCATCCGGTATAATTTTTGAATTTACAATTAAATTGCTAAATTGATATGCCACACTGTGTTGCAGACACTGAACCAGGAATATGTTGTACCTTGAAATAGAAAAAAAAAAAACAACAACACTAAAAAGCATGGGACCACTTATAACGCAAATACACTACAGTTACAGATTTATGCTTTGGCGCCTTGTAAGGCTCAAAGACATGAATTTGTAACTGAATCTTGTAGCCATGCTTAGTTTTTTAAAGAAAACCGAAAGATTTTAGATTTTTTCTTCAACAGTTGAAATTTTCCAAAAGTATATTTCCCATTACTGAAGTATTTTTTTTTTTAAATCCACATTAATTAAGAATGAAAAGTATAGAAGTTTTATAAGTATAAGGGTATTACTCAAGTAATGGTTACCAAAAAAAAACAAAACAAATACAGATCAAATCCTGTCACAATTATAATTTTTAACAGATTCTCATTCTGAATATTAGTCACATATTGGGAGGTTGTAGAATTTAGAGAGTTCTTATCCATAAAAAAGTTAACTTTACATTAAATAAGTCTGTATGTCTGATGAAGTCAAGTATTCCACAGTGTTAAATGTAGATTTCTTTTCCATTCAAACAAGGTGCAGATACACAACAGCATGACAGGGTATTGGAAAATATCGTGGGTGATAAAAAGATGTGATAAAAAAAAAAAATTACCTGTCTTTTTTATTTGTGTTCATTATATTTTTCGGGTAATATACCTTTAGAACAAGAAATTGAAGAAAAAATTGTGGTCAGAAATTCTTCAATTACTGTAATACGTACCTTGGCCAGAAGGACCACTCCTTCCTGTGTCTCTGGGTTTGTTTGAATGATAAAAGTAGAGCTTTCCTCCAGGTCATCCTCCAGACGGTATGTCATTTTGGCATTAATGCCTATGTCCCCATCGTCTGCCATGATTCTGCCCACTGTGGTCCCAATGAGTGCATTTTCAGGCAAAGTAAAGGTGTACTGAGCTATAAGAAGGAAGAGGTTACATTTAGTCAAGTTAAAACAACAAACTATCTTATTTGATTGGAATTTTAATTTAAAGACCAATACCAATGCACAAAGATATAATCTGGAAGGAGAATGATACAGACTTTTTTTTAGCTTAACTCATATGATATTGCGAAGATTCATAGATGAATTGTTGTGTTTAAAAGCAATATAATGACAAAATACCCGAAAATGTATTCATTCAATGCTACAGTTTAGATAATCGCTTCAAATAATGATTATTTTGCAAATCGATTGATAATTTTTTTTTCAATTAACCGATTGATAATCTGATAGCCAAAGGTTCCTTAAAGAAGATTTTTACCAAATTAAACCAGGTGAAACGAAAACGCTACATGTGAAGGTCTGGATAGATCATATTGACAGAAAAAAAGTTTTTTTTTTATTTTTTATCTTAAATACAAAATGTTTATATTTATATGTATATACATCTTTTTTTTATTTTGGTAAAATTTCTGCTCAACAATAGATTGATCTGTTACCTAAAGGCATATTTTACAGTCTCTAAACTCCACTTAATGGTTAATCGATTACTAAATTAGTTGACCATCATTTCAATAATCCATTAATCATCATTAATCTGATTAATTCTTTCAGCTTCAGATTAGATCAAAGCATATTTAAGATTTACAATGTGCTAATCTATATTTAAAAATCTTTGGTAGCAACATAACAAAAGGGGTACAAAAAGGTGAAGTTCTATCTATGATTTTGCAAATGCCATTTCACAAGCAGAGAGACACTGTTTACAGGAGGTAACTGGAAGTTGTTAATAGCCAGCAAATAGATTCTGCAGGTTTCTAAAATGATAAGAGAGAGAACATGGTAGTAGATGTTCAATATGTGTCAGTCACAGATGAATTGAGGCAAAACCAATATAATCCGGCCTAACTCTAAAGGAGATGAGAGAATCTGATAGCATCTTCAAGCAGTTTTTTTTTTTTTTTTTTTTTTGCAGGTATGGCACTACTGGGAGCAACTCAACAGGCAACCAGCTGCTCTTAAAAAATAGCCCTGCTGATAATTTGTAATTATGTGACAATGCAGAGGGCAAAATACAAAGTGAAGTGCAGCCATCTAATATTAATAAGGCCTTTCTTTCAAAAAACACAGAATCCATGGGATACACTAGCTCCTGCTATGAATTGGAATGTGACATTAATAGTTAAAAGCTCAATCCTAGCTGACTCTTTCCAGCTAAATTGATTTCCTCCTACTGCAGTCGTTTAGGGAGGTTTATCCCTGAGAAAGCTTGGTTTGTTTCCAAAGGTCATGGGGAATGTCCTTTCATGTGTGAATGATTAAATTCATCCAGCATGTGGCACATGTACGTGTGCACACGCAGATGTGGGCAACGTCCCCATCTCATCTTTCGACTGTCTGCTTTTTAATTTTGGGTTGCCGGCTGAATGCCATGACGTGCAGAGTAGAACGCAGCGCTAGAAGCAAAAGCCGCCCACCCGGACCAGAGGAGCGGGATCAAATAAATACCTTGTAGGTATAATATTAAACATGTCCTCAATGTGATCTGTAATGCTTTGTACACTGTCATTGATTCCCTGTGTGAGGATGTGTGTGTGTGTGTCTTTGAGTGTATGTATTCTTCTGCGTTTGCATCACTGCAAGTCATGTAAGTGACTCACGCTTCTGAAATGTGGGCCCATTGTCGTTTATGTCAGTAAGGCTGATGGTAACCGTAGTGGAGGAGGAATAACCTCCGCTGAGGCCCAGCATGTCTTTCACCTGCACCACAACCAGATATTCTTCCCTGGCTTCACGGTCCATATTAGGCCAAGATGTTACAATGATCCCTGCAGAATGAGAAAACACATAGAGATAAACTGGAAAAAAGTTAAGGTTTCAGTTCATTAAATGTCTTTCTGTGGGTGGTACATATGTTTCATTTAACAAAATATAAGTAAACAAAGATTGCCTGAAGCACACATTTGGAGCACCAGCTACAATAGTCATCAGGAATTTAATTAGCTAAAAAATAAATGTTAAGAGGTCTTTGGGATGACTAAATACGTATTCTGTCTGGCCAGACTGGAGGCCGTGGGCGACAGTAAACCGGAGAACAATTTCAGAATTACACCAACCCAATGATACCTTTGAGGCCATCATTTCCAGCAATGAGTCATGTAATTTTATGATTACATGACATTAAACTTTTAAAAGCTATTCTGAAATTAAATATTTGTTCAATTTACCGCCTCACTTTAAAACTCATCTCACTTTTGCCAAAGATTTGATTTCTTATGGATTAAATCTAATCATAACTGTATAAAAGCAGATTTTTTAGGAGGTTTCAGTGATGACATCATCACAATAAATGCTGTAGATTCATATTTTGAGTACCGTATTTTCACGACCATAAGGCGCACCGGACTAAAAGGCGCACTCTCAGTTATGTGTCCCATTTCTGTTTTTAACACACACATAAGGCGCACCGGACTATAGGGCGCGTTTTTTATATACAGGTACATGTCCTCTACTACCTTTAAATACCTCTACTGCGTATTTAAAAATACAGCGGGGGCAAAACTGAGTATGATTGTGCTTTATTCATGTATTTATTACAAAGTAGTAATCAAACCTGGCAGCTGGCCATGAGACAGACACATTGCAGATGACACAGCGCTGTGATCACTCCTAAATTAACTTAAAATCCTGAAACCTGCCGACGGAATATGTTCGCTTTTATTGCCGGTATCCTGGTGCCTGCAGCTAAAATTATTTAGATGAAAAACACCTGCCAGCAGCCGCGGTGAGGCTGCTGTTGAAGGGATTTACTGTCGGTGCACCGCTGGTATGTGGGGGTCTGAGCGCCTCCGACAGAAATAGATAATCTGGATGAACTGACTGCAATTATGAAGTTTTCAGGTGGACTTTCTCACTTAAAAACATATTAAAACTACTTTATTCCCACTGATCACAGCAAATATAGCTGCAAGATTTAGATTATTTAGATGAAAAAACACCTGCCAGCAGCCGCGGTGAACGAAAGGATTTCTCCTGTCGGCGCACCGCTGGTATGTGGGGGTCTGAGCGCCTCCGACAGAAATAGATAATCTGGATGAACTGACTGCAATTATTAAGTTTTCAGGTGGACTTTCTCACTTAAAAACATATTAAAACTACTTTATTCCCACTGATCACAGCAAATATAGCTGCAAGATTTAGATTATTTAGATGAAAAAACACCTGCCAGCCACCGCGATGAAGAGGAGGAGACGCGCCCAGAGGCTGCTGTTGAATTAAGTTTTCAGGTAGAAAAATAGAGCGGGAGCAAAACTGAGTATGATTGTGCTTTATTCATGTATTTATTACAAAGTATTAATCAAACCCATCAAAGTCATCATCCTCTGTTTCTGAATAAAACAGCTGCGCTAAATCAGACGTGCCAGTTTCCCCTTCTTCGCTGTCAGTCACTTTCCGTGCAGCGCAGCTCCTCAGAAATAATGCCGGCTTTTGCAAAAGCTTGAAGAACAGAGCCAGCAGACACGTTAGTCCATCTACAATCCATCCGCAAACGGTGGCGTAACTTGCCCGGCGCTGCCTTCCACTTATCCTGAAACTGTGGTCTCCGTCTGTCATCCATCGCTCCCACGCCGCTCGCAGCCTTACTTTGAACGGCCGCTTCACACCGATGTCGAGCGGTTGAAGTTCCTTTGTCAGACCCCCGAGATAACGGCGAGCACAGCATCCATTTGATTCACCAATTTTTTTCACATCGGCTGTGAGATGGGCACGCAGCAATGGTGATGCGTGGAAAAAACCACCTAGTCTTCTCAGATACACCTGCCTCAGCCACGCATCCACCCAGCCTTTTTCATCTAATATCATATGTCATCAGAGCGCTGTCTGTCTCGCTGTCAGCTCCCAGATCAGCTTCTCTGATTGGTTGATGCGGCGCGTCCAGCAGCAAAACTTCAATTTTTCCATCTGAGCTGCAGCAGCGCGTTGGCGGCGCTTCAGATGCTTAAACGCTCCCGACGTGCTGCACCAAAACGCGCTGCAGGACCTTTTGCTGCACCTATACGCGCGTCAACCATTGACTTTGCATGTAAACTCGCTGCTTCTGCTGCACCTGCTGGGTCCGGTTCACACCGATGTTGAGCGGTTGAACAGCGAGCACAGCATTCATTTGTTTCCCCATGTTTTTCACATCAGCTGTGAGATGGGCACGCATGGAGTTACATATTAACAGCGATGGTGAGGGGTGGAAAAAAAAAACACCTGGTCTCCTTACATTCAGCCACTCTTTCATCATCTCCTCAATGAGGTGGTCTCAAAAGTCGCAGTTACAACACACATAGGGCGCACCGCACCATAGGGCGCACCGCACATTTTGAGGGGAAAAAAGACGTTTAAGTGCGCCTTATAGTCGTGAAAATACTGTACTTATCTGAGACAGAATTTCATATTAAATGACTGAATATAGCATATGACTTATATTCAAAGAAATATTGAATCATGCTAGAATGGTATTCTAGAACATCTTGCTAGATAAAGGCACTACAATGTTACACTAAAGACTACGAGACTACATTGGACTACATTGGTAATGGCCCTACAATACATGTAAACAAAACCAATAAATTAAATAATGACCAGTGCTTCAGCTGGTAACACCTTTGTTGTCATTGCCAGTCATGTGAAAACCTCATTTGCTCCTGATTCAAGTTTAAATAATCAAAATAGCATTGAGGGGACTTACTAATGGCAAGTAGTAAATAGCCTGTTCTTGTAAATTGCTTGATCAAGTCCAAGTACTCCAAAGTGTTTTACACTGTGTTTAGCCATTGACACATAAGGGTTAGGAGTTGTGATTTTTCAAGGTTGACTACAGTAAATGTTGAAGTCCAGTCAAAGCCTCATGACATGATATTAAGTTAGGAGGGTTGGTGTGGAGCTGATAATGATTTATAATGCATCTTCCTGCATCGACTGCCTTGGTCATATAAGGCAGATCTAATCTGAGTTAATAATTGAGTTATTAACTCAGTTATTGCACAGTTGCTGTTGCTCGACTAGCTATAATATAAGTATAGTATATAAGTATAGTATAGTATATAAGACATTTCACAATGTGACAATTCAATTCATTCATTTAAACTATGCACAGAATGGGATTTCAATGAATTCACTAACCTGAGTATTGCTCATGAGTTTTGCAGTCTGAGCAGCAGCCTCTTCCTGACTTGTGAAAACCGGCAGATGTAGAAAAGTATAAACTAGAAGGCTCCCTCAAGGAAGCCCCTACCTTAAAGCGCTGTACCAGCACTGTAAACAAACAGCCACTTTCTCTGATCAGAGAGGGGTGATGTGAGGCAGTGTGCAATGATTCTTGCTCAAAACTAAGACAAGATGGCTTTTTTAGCAGCTAATCTGCACAGTTTAGCAACGTCTCCTTTTTAACTAACCTCGTTATTGTGATGTTTTTTTTTTTTTTGCTTTTTGTTTGATTTTTGGGGGGCTAAGAGAGGTTTTGGACTTTGTTGTTTTTTTATTTACTACTTAATGAGATACTGTATGATGCACCACGTGGTAGTAGCACCAAGACCCAAAGTTAGTCTGTTTGTGTGAAGTGTGCAATAAAGAACTTTTAAAATATATACTTCATATTAAACGCTGTCTTTGCTAAATGGTCTTAAGAAACAGCTCTATAAGAGCTGCAAAACAATCAGCAAACACGTCTACATTTTTATGTTTTACACCGTTTTGTTGGTCATTTCTCATTCTTAATAAAATGATCCCTAAATACTGAGTGCTCAAAAATAATAACATTTTGACATTAAATACACAAAACACAAACAAAAAAATACAGACTACCTAGATAGTCACTGAAAAATAAAACTAGCCATATCAAATGGAATATTTAAATCATGGAATTTTAAATCAAATTTGAAAAGCATTTTCTAATTACACATTTCAAATTGAATTATTTATGAGGACCTGTAAATTGTATTTGTTAATCCATCATTAAATATTGCTATTTGAAAATGTATTTTGAAATACTATTTCTTAATGGGGGTTTAAAAAACAAAATTCCTAAATCTATGTATGAATATACCTTTCCTAATCATATTAATAAGGAAAAAACTTTAATTTCAAATTAGGAAATATATTCTTAATCACATTTATCTGATGTTTATAATTTTTAATGACTCTCTAGGACCTCCTTAAAAAAACAACCTGGCATAAGTGGTGCAAATGTCATCCAAATGCAGCACATTCAGGAGGTAGTACAACCTCGGAAACTAGATGAGCAAACTGAAAAAATGACAAACAATTTAAAATCTAGACAAAAAAAAATCACTAACACAAAAACAAACCACCCAATAAAAACAAAAAAATGCATCAAATAAAACAGAGAACAACAAAGTGGAAATATGCTGCAAACACAAAATTAGCTGCAAAAGCTTAAATCATGCCACACACAAAACACATACTCATCCCTACTGACACTGTTCAGCAGAGGATTTATTATTTCCTATTCACGTTTATACTGTATATATCAATCTGAGGAAGATAAGAAGTATTGGGTTTACACTTATCAACAGTAGTTGATAAGTGCCACAGTGGCAGCAGCAGACACCGAGCTGAGGAGGTCCTTCTTACATCCGGCAGGACAACTGAGCTGTTCTTAGTAAATCCTGCATAAAATGTTTTAGTGGTAGATTTAGTTTTGGTGTTTGTGTGACTGACATTGGTAAAGAAGATTTATAATAATACAGAACAAAACGTGTCCCATATTGATTTAAAGCAGGACACACCCTTTAACAGCCTAATAAAGGTCTATTCTGTATTTCAGAGCAATGCACAGGGGACAACAGAGACTCTGACAAGGGATTGCTCTTGTTAAAGTCAAGGTCACTCTACCAGAAAATCAGTATAACATTACACAATCTGAATATACTATTATTAATATCTAAATCTTAATAAAAGGTACATTTTAAGGATTCAGTTTTTTTGTTTACAACACATACTATTTTATGCTCTAGTTGCCACATGGAGGGAAAGGTTGTCTTTCTCCTAATCTTAATAAATATAACATAAATAGACAGTTCTTTTGAACTGACTCAAGCTGTAATGTCAGATATATGTTTCTCTTAATACACAAATAACAAATTAAAACAGCGTCTAAATACACTGGAACCAAACATAAAAAAGCAGCATTTATTTCTCATGCTCCATTTATCTGGAGCAAACTCCCAGAAGACTAAAAGTGCTGAAAGCCTGAGTTCTTTTAAGTTAAACTAAAAATCCTTTTGTTTAAAACTGTTGAAGTTAAATGTTAAACGAGATATCATTAGTTTGAGGTCGGGGTCCAAATGTTCTACTTGTTTTACTATCTGCCTTTATTATATTTTTTATCTTCATTGGTTTTTATTCTGCTTTTGTTTTTATTCTATTTTGTTGTTCAATTAATGTAAAACACTTTTAATTGTCTTTGTAGTGAATTGTGCTTCATAAATAAACTATAACTTTCGTGCCTGTTCTGTGACAGAGCAAGTATTGCTGTTAATAACACACGTTAAAGCATTCCCACTTAAAAAGCATTTTCTTTAACTGTTTCCATTTTCTATGAAAAAATATTAGGTTTTCTTCTCTTTCCATTGCAATGATTAGACAAAAAATATAAAAAGAAAGTCTAGAAATCTTGAATTCTAAAAATTTTTATAAAACAGGCTGAATCAAGAGTGAAATAACTTTTTAATATAGTACTACATTGAAATTCGATATATATATAACAGACAAATTAAGAGCAAACTTAGAAAAACATAAAAATAAAAAAGGGGTAAAGTATTTTGCATATTTGCAACTATTTGTGTTACGGTTCTCCCTATTTGGACTTTTTTTTTTAGTTACTCTCTGTTGCCGCTTGTGCCTCTTATTCATATACAGTAAGATACGCAAAACAATAATTTCCCAGTATGTCTTTAATTTTTTTTGTCTTTGTTTTTTCCCTAGAAGTTTTTTGTCTTCATCTTTAAATGTTAAGCTAATACAACTCTACATTTATTTCTAACAGATCATGTGAGTTTTTAAGAAATTTAAAAAATGTGCAGCTTTTAGAAGAGAGGGGTGCCTACTCCTTTAATTTAAGAAGAAACAGTGAGCTTTGTTACAACTCTGTTTTGTCCTCTCAGCTACTGCATTGATTTGCATTTTAAATTTCTTTGGCGTCAATGATGCCCCCTTAAAGCTATTCAAAGTTCAGGTCAACAATGTGTGTGGGAAGAGCTCTGGCTGACTGCGGTATTAAAGCAGAATTTATCATGCATTCATAGAAAGGTGTTGAATTGCATTTTTGGTGAAGTAAATTGTACTGAATAAAGGCTCATTTGTCACCAGCCTAGTTTAAAGTTGGGGAGGCCATGGAGTCCTATCAAAAACAATTTGCAGTGCCATTTCAATTAAGTTAAATACCACTAGAAAGGCCAATCTATTTCATAACCGAAATGAATTCCAAACTGAAACATTCACTCTGTAGATTTATTACACAGCATATCAAACCTTAATTTCTGTTCATTTTATTTATTATAGTTTCATGGAACAAGAGAGGGAAATAGAATTCCATAAGAAAAGAAGTCCAGTCTAGTCTATTATCTTAGTTCAAATAGGGGAATTCAGGCATCCCTGCTTCAGGAGTGGCTTAACACAAGGAAAACAACAGTTGAAGTCTATGCATGATGAGTTCGCTCTTAAAGTATAACGAAAATATTGCAGTGTAAATCTCCAAAAGAAACTTGGCTTCCCTGTTTCTTCAAGGCTTCTGTTACAGCACAGGTTATTCTTCCACTAAACTTTCTATTAATATGATTACATACAATACTCTGTGACAAACAAGCTTGCTCTCCAAGTTCTTACATTTACTTTTCATCATACCCCTTAATATTACTTTTAGTTGTGCACCTGTTTTTTTCCTCCACACTTTCTCCTTCCCATAAATTTTCAATGAATTTGCTGGGAAAGATTCCTCTTTAACCATTTTGCTCATTAGGTGATGATCTCTTGTAATCTTGTGGGGGGGTTAATATTAGATTTCTCTATTTCGGTGTCTAAGCATGCCACATGATGTGGATTCTATAGAAGCTCTGTATTTGAATAATTTTCTAATTGCTCTTATGTAATCATCTCTTCATCCAACAATTTTAATTCTGGATTGTCATTAGCTGTAAACCACAAATATTAAATTTAGGGACAAAAAGGGAATTCGATATCACTTTCCATATAATAGATCTATATCAGAAGTTTTGAATAGAAAGATTAAAACAAGTGAACTTTGATTGTATTTTAATGTATTGGTTGAGAATCCAACTGGAATATATTGCTCTCATAGAGATAGTAATCTTAGCAAATTTAGGCCTAATTTCTGAAAATCAAATGTCAATTTATTCATCATACCTGTCTTTGGCTGCACAGAGAAGTAGGGCTCCCCCTGCAGGATGGAGTAGATAAGCTTTGCGTTGTTGCCAAACATGGGATCATCCGCATCTGTGGCTGTCACCTGGGCCACGGTTGTCCCTGTAGGGGCAAGGAGCGGATTGCACAGTCAGAGTACACTCAGGCAGCAGTTCCAGTCGACAGGGAAATAAAGTGATTATGCCACATTCCCGCAGGGTCTGTCTGTCTGACTCAGGAGGTGGAGGGGGAGGTAGGCAAAATGGAAAAAGCAGAGAGCAGAGGGAGGCTAAGGGAGAGTTAGTGGGGGGATGTTGACAAAAGAGAGAAGGGAGTAGGGGTTGGGTGTGCACTGGCCTTTCACAATATAGAGCAGGTGTGCGTGACAACCTTTCCAGCCCTGTAGCGACACCTCTCTATCCTATTGCCCCAGGTTTTCGCTTCTTGATTCGGTTTTACTTCACTATCTTTCTCACTTGCCACCTCTCTCAGCTGACCATATCCTTGCCCTCACCTTGCTTTCTAAAATATCTTCCTCACGCCTGCTCTCTGTCTTATTCTTTCTTCCATGTGAGTGGTCCGTCTTTCATTCACAGGCATGGATTTAATGCTGTGTTTCCTATTTTCAGATGCCCTCACTCCAACCTACCCCTTTTGACTTTCCATCTCTGAGTCAAATTTATTGTGATTTATTACAAAGGGTGGGGGTTGGGGACTGGGTATTGTATAGTAGAATCCAATTACATACTAAATTAAATGGTAATATTTTTGCTATGAAATGCAGTGGTTATAATAAGCTTCTTTAAGAAATCTATCGATAAAGGAATTCAAGTCATGATAGAGAATCCAATACTTTCGACTTTCTGGATGGGAGGCAGATGACAGTCACTGATAATGCTTTGTTCCTGGTCTTCGGTTAGGAATTCATTTAAGACGGCTTCCCTTTTATCTTTGAGCTGGAAGATTGGATCAACCTCGTTACAGTGAAAACAACTAGTGGAAGGAACATTTATGAAACATACAAACCTTTACTGCTGTAATTAGAGAATTCAAAAGTTTCTTTCTGGTCCTTTTTGTATGTGAAAACAAAATCTGAAAACATGCTGGACTCATTATTTTTAAGAGAAAAGCAGGATTGGAGATGGTTCAATATTCTTGATCTACTTCTTTTGGATGGGAGTCTAATTATAACCCACTGTTTACTCTCCTTTTGCTCCTTTGTTCAGTGTAAACAACTGTGGGCGATTTTTAGCACTGTGCAAAGAAATATCTTAGAAATGTCTAAATATCAAAACATTGCTGGGTATTTTATAGGGATTTTATTTGATGGACCAACAGAAATTAGTGTAGTTTAGAATTGGGAAGAGCTTTAGAATTGTTTATTAAAATCCTGGTTTTTAGGTATTTAAATGGTCTGGATCCTCCTTATATTCCTGAACTCCTGCATACATATAATTCTGAAAGAAAGAAAGAACTCTGAAAGAGCTTTGAAGATCAGATGCTGTTGGTGGATCCTAGGACAAATCTTTTGACTGTGGGAGACAGAGCCTTTTAAATCACATCCCTTAATCTCTCTGCCTTCTCTCCATAAAGTCTGTCAGAACTCTCAATTCATTTAATTCTCTTTTAGATAAAATTCTAAATAGGCCGTTAACTAAAAATGTGCACAAGTGGACAAATCTAAAAATTGGATTCCTCATGGGTATCAAGATAAAGGTACATAAAGGTAAAAAGGGCTGAATACAAATAAATGCCACACTTTTCAAGTTGTAATCAGTAAACAAGACTGAATAACCACTTCCACTTTATAATTAAACACTTCTTTGTGTCGGTCTATCACAAAAAAGTTTTCTTTTGATTTATTCAAAAGAAAACATTTAACAAAAATCTTAAAGATTTTATGTTTGGTATTAAAAAGTGTTTGTTTTGAAAAAGACAATAAAGTGCAATTGTGCATGCATTTCTTTGTCATACAAGTCTAAGTCTACATTTGTAATAATAAAAAAAGCAAAGACAAAACATACCGACTGGGCTCATCTCTGGAATGCTGGATAAATAGGGTTCATTCAGGAACTTAGGGGCATTATCATTGATGTCTTGAACTTTGATAATGAACTCAGACTGGGGCTCCTCTGGCTCATTGGTCCTCCTGTTTATAGCCTGGGCCTGAAGGACATAAAAGGCCTTTTTCTCTCGGTCCAGCTTCTTCAGCGCGCGGATTTCTCCAGAATACTCATCTATCTCAAACGTATCTCCAGCACCTTCTCCAGATAACACATATTGGATAGTAAAATCACCTCGGTCTGAGTTAGATTTCACCTACAGAGGAGTTAAAAGGGAAAATTACATTTATTTTCCCCAAAGTACATAAAAAAACATGTTCAAAGGAGAAAAATCATTTTCAAGGACATGGTGGACATTCAGTTTAAAGCATTACCTGGCCAATAATACGTGAAGTAGGATCTTCCTCGCGGACAATCAGCTGCTGCCAGATCCAGTCTCTTTTTTGGCGATGGTGCAGAACAGTAGACCCTTGGGCCAGCTGCTGGCCCTCCAGACCCCAGGTATCTCTTATATCACTCAGCAACCCGCCGGGAATCATAGAGAACACTGTCATCACAGCCAGTATCCCCGGGGTGGTCATTTTTACTGTCTGTAGATGCATTTCATCCCCAGCTCCCATGGTCAAAGAACGGTGGAAAACAGGGGGCTGGTTGTGTTTGTAATCCTTTATTTATTTGGTCTGCAGATCATAATCTTGAAAGCACTGTTTCCCACCTTCTGATGTACGCAGCATCATAACTGAAAAAAGATTAAACAATTTTATTCATCTTTTAAATGAATAATTTCAGGTAGTGTTCACAAAATAGATTACGATAAATAATATAATTTTATCTGCAACATTGCTAAGTCTGCACCAGCCAGTCACCTGCTGATTGAAAGCTCATTTTTTAATCCTTTTGATTGTAAACATGTTATGGCACATGCTTGAATGTGTTAGATAACTTTGAGTCATTGGAGCCTAAGTTTATTGAGGGAGAATTACTGTTATTAATTAACAATAACTCCCAATAACTATCAATAATTAATTAACAATAAAATTTCAGGTAGGTGTTTGGTAAGTTAGATACAAATTCAAACATCTTTATGTCATTTACTTGGTAGATTTAGATTTTGGGAAGAAAAAAGAATTTATTCAGGTAAATTCAGGGGAAATTCCATGAAAGTACAAGAAAATAATCATTAGATTTTTGGAAGTTAAGTTTCATGTTTCCATTTGTTTCTGTGAAAGTTCCAGAAAATATCTTCTTCAGTTACCTGTAGCTAACTAGGTTCCATGAAAGTTAAAGGGAAACGGACAGACTTTGTTAAACAGCGCTCATTTTTTAAGGTTTACATAGGAATAAATATAGCATAGTACATATAGAAATGTTTAAAAAACGGAAGTTTAATTACCCTGGTAGTGGGTCAAACATTAATAATACCAGCAGCTTAAAGCAGTGCTTCTCAAAGTCACTGACCTTCTCCGCAAAACCTTCCTCTCTTGCCCCTCATTTCCTGTCTGTATTGACGACAATAGAAAGAAATCCGGTTGCACAATATAAAAAAAAAAAATGCATCACACTGCTCACCATGATTGTGTTGGTGTGCTACTGTAAATCACACCCACCAACATTCCCTGGCATCTCATTTATAAGTAACATGTTTGAAATATTATATGTGGGCAGAAGTAAGGCTCTTGAATGACGATACTTAAAAGAGGAAAGATGTTGCTTATCTCCAGTCATTACAGAATGCTGCTGCTTGGCTTTTTACCAATTATTCTGGTTTTATTATCTTTACTTTGACTGCAAATACATTTAAAAATTCCATTTACAATTTTTATATCAGTCATATTTTGTTGCAGTCTGAGATTACCCGGACAATGACTGAATCAAGTAAATAAATGTAAGTTACTGTTCTGTTTTTAGGATCTGTACTTTACTGTACTCCAGTATTTATTTTTCAAAGCACTTTTTATTCTTACTCTCTACATTTCAACATAAAAATGTGTGCTTTCCACTATCTAAAAAAAACAAGTTGCTTCTTTACATATTCAAAAATGATTTCCAGTTGCACCAAAACAGAGGGGAATTAATGAGCATGAAGAATATCTATACAGTTGGAGCCCAGTTTGTATATATAAAAACACTGACAGAAACATGGATGAAGACAGGGGGCGGAGAAACATTGCAGATAACGGATAAGATTCTGAGATACAATACAGCCCCTAAGCTCCTCAGGCTGAGCTCGTCACCCTATATTTAAGACAGTCCCCAGCCACCCTGTTGAGAAAGCTCATTTCAGCTCTATCTGTGACCTTGTAGTTTAAGTCATGGTCCAGATTTCATGACAATAAATTAGGGTAGGAATATAGACTCACAAGTAAATCAAAAACTTTTTTGCCTTTTGGCTCAGCTCTCTCTTCATCATGACGGACAACCACTCATATTCAACTATCAATCTCCTGCTCCATTCTCCCCTCGCTAGTGAACAGAACCCCAAGATACTTGAACTCCTCCTCTTGGGGCAGGAAATCACCTCTGACCTGCCAAGCCACCTTCTTTCGGTCAAGAACCAAGGCCTTGAACTTAGAAGAACTGTTGCATATCCCTGCTGCTAAACACTCATCCCAGTGCATCCAGTAGCCCATGTCATCCGCAAAAAGCAGGGAAGAAACCTGCTGGTCCCCAACCCAGACCTCCTCCGGCCCTTAACTGTAAGTAAATGTCCTTACCATTAAGGTTATGAACAGTGTGTTTTTTATCCCTTTTTTGTTGGTCATTACATATTACAGTGTATTGCACTGTTTTTATTGTTTCACTGTAACTTACATACATTTTAAAATAGTTTTAACTTTACTTTACTTTCCTTTACTTATATTTACTTACCTTTACTTTCAAGAAGATAACATACAGAAGAGTCTTCTGAGTCAATCTTTGACAAAAATATTGCCTGGTCCAGTTTGCAATCTAAAGCCTCTTTCCCACTTAAATACGTGTTAACGCAAGTTTTATAACATGGGTCGACCAGCAAACAATCGGCCTTTGGCTCCCTTCTCACTGACAAAAATGCTGGGTCTAACCCCTCGCTGGCAAACTGCCACGGCCATAACCAACAAACTTCCTAGCAGACATAACAGTTAATCTGCTGCAGCTGCAAACCTTCTTTTTTCTTTTTATTTATTATTTTTTTATTCTTTCTTTTTTTGGCAGGTTTTAAACAGCAGCTAGGTTAATACCACGATCAAAGAAATCTTTTTATGCAGGCCGAGTGCCTTCTGGTGCATTGCTGCCCCCATCATGACACTGGCTTGTGACATTCCATGACATTATGCTGCTGTGCGTTATGGATAAGTTAGGCTTTCACTGGATAGTTCTCGACTTGTTATGAATACTCTGTATATCCTCCCCAAAAATACATAGAAAGTTCTGCGTATGCCAGTGTTTTAAATCTTGGACATATGCTGGCTAAGTAGAAGTTTTGCTATTAAGTAGAAGTTTACTAGAGTAATTATCTTTAGACAACTTTTACTTCCACTACTTAAATTTGTTTTTTGCAATTATTTCTGCTTTCTACTCCTTTCTTTTTAAAAATAGATTTGGTAGCTTTGTATTGAGCTAATTTTCCATTATGGCCTGTTGGTATTAAAGAAAAACAAAACATCAAAATGATTAGTTACTTTGTGGCTACACTCCGTACCGTACCAACTTGTTGTTAAACACATACCAATTGAAAAGTTTTTCAAGATGATCAAAAACTAAATTTGACACTGTTGCCATTAGTTATAAAAAAAATGAAGTATGAATTGTAGAAACGTTTCCCTTTAAAAGAAGTGCAGTAAAAACATCTGTCTTTAACATTTTTGTCCTGCATTACTTTTATTTTTATACTTTAATTAGTTTTAAAAATGGGACTTCTACACTTTTACTTGAGTAAAAACCTTAAGCTAATACTGTCACAATCTGCCCTGATAGCTCACCTTTATTATTCATGCCTTTCTCCTGCTAAACTCTGTCATGCTCCTAATTATCACTCATCTCATCCACCTACTGGTTCTCCTTTATATTGGGCTCAGTTCCAGCTATCGGGGCCAGGTCATTGTATTTCTTATGCCTGTCTGTTTTGTTAGTTTTTAGTCAGTTCCAAGGTTCATGTCCTATTTCCTGGCGGCCAGCGGATTGAGGGTTTTTGTGTCTCTCTTGTCTTTTGATTGTGTCCTGGTCCTTTTCCGCAGAGCCATCAGGGTTTTGGCTCGGTACGCAGAGAAAGTCAGTATTATTACTGTAAAGCCTGCCTCCAAGGAGGAGACCAGTTTAAAGTTCCCTGCTGTAGCCCGGTACCACGTCTTGTCCCTCAACTACTGATCCTGCCTGGTCGGAATATGGATCCCTGGATCTCGGAACTGTTCCTGCCTGATCTGCTTTCCCCTGACCGGGATCGGCTTCCCTGCATGTTCTCTGGGGGTGCAGCATCAGGGACACTTTGGGTGGCTCAGGGACGGTCGTTGGCAGTGCATCGTCTGATCCTGCCTATAATTGAGAGGTTACCAGTTAAAACAGGTAAGTGACTCACTCTGATAATCATCTCCTGTCAGATGATTGTGGACATTCACCTGTTTTTCTCCCTCCAGAGTGTCAGTGACTGGGCGGTGCCCCGCACCCCTCCTGCTGCCGCTGCAGTTCCACAGCTCTGCTATTCAGTTCTTTCTGTTTGTTTTAATAAACTTTTTTAACTTTCCTACTGATTGTCTCTAATAAACATGAATACTTTTGACTCTGAGTAGTAATACTTTAAAACAACATTACAATATTATTAGTAAACATAAAGAAAAAAAGGATGGTGCTGTATAACTACTCATTAAGAATTATTTGTAAAAAAATTACTCCAATTAATGTTACTAAGTAAATTTAAATAGTTACTCTCCACTTCTGGTGAAAACTAAGATGCATATTTAAGGAATGTTCTTTATTTTCCTATTTCAGCCCTGGTAACTGAAAACCATTGTCCACTTCACCCTACAATGCCCTGTATTGTGTTTTACGTTGGGGATGACAAGCAAGATCATCATTCCTTAAGGATGACACCACACTGTGCAGCTGACTAATGAAGACTTCTAATTAGATCAATGTCTAGGAGACATGGAAAACAGAGACACATATACCACTGACAAACTGTGAGTCAAATCGATGCACCAATTATAATGTGCAGCGAGATCAGGGTCAAGAGTGCGAGGACAATCAAAGTCAAAACCAAGAGCAAATTTGTTAGAAACTTTCATTTACTTGTTTTCTGACAGGCTTACACTACTTAATTGTCTTACTTAGATGAAAGCAAAAGCAAATTAAAGCAAACAAACAGGACAGTAACATGATATGCACAGTGCTCCTTTATTCAGAATTAGTTAATGCTATATTTCTTACTTAGCTTTGCTTCATCTATGTTATATGTCTAATTACGTTTTTTTTTGCTTGAAATTGAAAATAATTTTCTTTTGTTTTTCCAGAAATCTTTATGAACTTGAACTGCAAAAAAATTTATGTGTTACTTTTATTTTTAAAAAGAAATTGCAGCTACACACTACACTACTGTTAAAGTTGCAACACTAATCGTAAATATCTACTAAACCATTGAGTTCATGAACCCATGAACCCTAGCTAGGTAAATAGCCATGTGCTTTGGTCGACTGCAGGTTGCTTTTTATTTTACCAAAATCCTTTCTAAATTATGCTACATCACACTTACTTTTCTTTTTTTTTTTT